ATACTTGGCAGGCGGTTATAATAATGTGGAACAATGTGATAAGTGTCCTATTGAAATTGCGAGAGCTATGAGGGATTACTTGAATCGCAACAAGACTGAAAATGCAAAAGTGACTGATGAACGAAAAAAAATGAGACAAAATTTAATTTGTGGATCGAGGCNTGAGGGATTACTTGAATCGCAACAAGACTGAAAATGCAAAAGTGACTGATGAACGAAAAAAAATGAGACAAAATTTAATTGGTGGATCGAGGCAGAGGAGTGGTATCGAAATTTATTCTTCCGATGAGAATTTAGATGATGATATGGATATAGAATATAGAGCTGATATTGAGTATGCAAAACAACAATCTATTCGTGATATACATATGGCCGAGCAGGGCCTTAGAGGAGGAAGTTCTAGACCATCTATCCAAAAAGGTGGTATATCTAAGGGTTTGATGCGCTCACATAGTGTGAAGGAATCTTGGGATACATTCTCAAAAAAATCACAAAAGTTGATGGGCAAAGAAAAGGATCTCACGATAGAAGAGATGGATCCTTCAATTTATCGGAATAGGGAAGTGAAGCAAGCTAAGCTAACTCATATGTGGAATCCCAAAAAGTGGGCAAAGTCGACAAAATATGCGATTGCAAAGTATTTCATTTATGAAAATATTCCACCAAGCAAAACTCAAGGTCATTTTTACCAATTGATGATTGATGAAATTGCTTTAGCTGGAGTGGGTGTGAAAGGCCTAACCCTATATGAGATTGGCGGGTCATTGCTAGATAATGAGATAGATAAGCTTAAAGAGTACATTTACCAGTTCAAAAAAAAGCGNCTATATGAGATTGGCGGGTCATTGCTAGATAATGAGATAGATAAGCTTAAAGAGTACATTGACCAGTTCAAAAAGAAGCAGGAGATTTATGGAGTGACAATCATGTGTGATGGATGGACATCCACCACAAGATTATCTATCATTAACTTTTTGATATATTGTGATAAAAAAAGTTATCTTCCACAAGTCAATTGATAGTTCTGGCCAAGACAAGGATGCTAACTATATTTTGGGGTTGATGGATGCTGTTGTTGAGGAGATTGGAGAAAAATATGTGGTTCAGATTATTACAAATAATGGCAGTGCGTACAAAAAAACTGGTGAAATGTTAATGAAAAGAAGACCACACTTATATTAGACTCATTGTGCTGCCTACTCTCTAGATTTGATTTTGCATAATTTTTTCAAGATTAAAACGGTTCAAAATGTGCTAGAGCAAGCTAAAAAAGTGACCAATTTTATCTATAATCATAATAGAGTCTTGGATATAATGAGAATATTTTGTTCAAGAGAATTGATTCGGCCAAGTCAAACAAAATTTGTCACTAATTATATTGTCCTACAAAGTATTTTGGAGCAGACAAATGGTTTGCAAATGATGTTTACTTCAGAAGATTGGTCTAGGACTGCGACGGCAAAAGATGCAGTTGGAAAGCGAATTCAAGGGCCAATTCTAAATCCTAAATTTTGGGAGACCGCCAAAAATGTGTTGAATATACATACACCTATTGCAAAAGTTCTAAGAATGGTGGATGAGGAAAGAAAAACAACAATACCATATGTATAAGAAGTAATGAAATGAGCAAGACAAGCTGTCAAAGACACGGCTCCTAAATCGTGCAAAAAATATCTTGACATCATTGATGCTACATGAAAAAAATAAATCATTCAACATATTCATATGGCTGGTAAACTTATTGTTTATCAATTTATATTTTTATTATTGATAAGTTTTATTATTTTGGATGTTATTATTTATAAGTGTTATCATTATTTATATTGTGTAGCTTATTACTTGAACTCCACATACCATTATGAAGAAGATGTTGGTGTGTTAGAAGGTTTCTTGGGTTCACTTCGGATCGTTGTGTCTAGACTAGTGACAAATCCAAACAAGGCTGCTGAAGCACTTGCAAAGATAATACTTTAGTATTTCAATCTCAATTTACAAATGTGTTAAATTAATACATAACATCAACATATCCAAGATATTTAAGTAAAAATATTTCGGGAGGCCATGTATTATTTTGCTGACCAAGCTACAATTAGAGGAAGAACAAAAAGTGATTCAAGTAATTAAGTAGATTATTTACACACTTATATTTTATTCTCATGATTTTCTATTTATATTTTTCATTAAGGTTTTAATATGTTTTTATTATTATGCAGCTAAATGGTGGTTTATGTATGACACTAATGCTTCAAATTTGAGAAAGATTGCTATGAGAATATTGTCACAAACAACCTCATCTAGTGGTTGTGAGAGAAACTGGAGCACATTTGCTCTCATTCATACTAAAGTGCAGAATCGACTCAATTATCAAAAGTTAGAATGGCTGGTGTTTGCACAATATAACATGAGGTTGAAGTTAAAACAACTTATGAAGGATAAAAAATGGTATGAATTCAGACCTATAGACTTAACCACTGTTTTTGAGGAAGATGAAAGTATTTCGAAGTGGTTAGATGATCTTGGTGATACATTTTTAGATGAACTTGATGATGATGGGCAATCAACAAGACCAAACACTTTCCTAGCGACGTGGGCAAATTGTTTTTCCGATGACGATGGAGGAGTAGGCCTAAGTGAAGGTGTTGTGCCACCACAAAAATCAAGATCCAAAATAAATAGAGGAGGATCAAGTAAAGCGATGGATGATGAAGAGTTTGACAGACTAATGAGAGGTCCACCAAGATGTAAGCAACCTATCACTGTCACTAATAGTACTGAAGATGATCATAAGAGTGATGGTAATAATGATGATGGTGGTGAGGATGATGATGAAGATGGTGGAGGTGATGGTGGTGGTAGTGGAGATGGTGACAGCAGAGGTGGTGATGTAGGTATGGAGAGCCAAAGTCTACATGGAATTGTATTCACTGTAGAGGAAGGATTTACACATGTTACACAATATGAAGATCATGGCTCTAGACAAATGCTTCAATATGAACGACACTCAAAATCAACTCGAGATCGTCAACGTGAGCATACTCAAAATCCGATCACTCCACATGGTATGGGTGTTATTAGGCATGGAGCTGATATGATTAATGATGGTTTTTCTACTATGAGTATAAGTGGGAGTGGAAGTAGAGTGAACACCATAATTATGGTTCGTCGTCTTCATATGGTTATGATTCTGGACATGACATTCCCTCATATGATTATGGATTGGGGTATGACACACGAGGATACGAATATGGATCCTCAACATATGGTTATGGATCTGGCTATTACTCCCAGACATCCTCCTCATATAGACAAGATGAAGGTTGGCCAGGGACTAGTGCATTCGTTTCCCAACAGATTGGATGTAGTGTTGCAGACTATCAGAGGTTTGGGAGAGAATATAATTCATATTATCGTAATAATGAGTTGGAGTAACTATTGTCATCATATTTATGTCACATATGGAGTTTCTCTAAATAGCTACCCAGAGCCTACACTGATGTATGAGCCTGCTCGACACTCCACAGGGGAATGGATGTAACCATGTAAGTATGGACTTATTAACATTTTATGTGTATTATGAGACCTTAAAATTATGTAAAAATGTATTTATTTGATAAAAATTAAGTGTTTGAAACTAATTTAAGTGATTTTCGCCTCATGTCAAGCCTTTTTTTCTCTCCAATTTAAATTTATTCTTGTATAAATATATATTAACCCAATAAATATGTTGAATTAATCAATTATTTAGCTTATCTTTATAGATTAATAGATTGTATTTGTGTTTCCACGCGTTTTCATATTTTTTCCGCGTTTTCATTGCGTTTTCGAATCGTTTCCATTTTTTAGCTGACCGAAACGATACTTCGAAACGAAATTTCGATCCTTCTCTATACCTTTCAATAACATTTGTACTGATAAAAAATATTCCTCTTCATAGACTTCCGAGATGCATCATATCTATATTGATCCGATACTTATCAAAGAAGATGAATATATATTAGAGGGTACGCTACCCTTCTATGATGTCATATATCAACCATTGGCCACAATTCATACAAGTTGCATGGCAAATGGACACAAAGATATGTGTTAGTACTGGCAGTACAAAGAGTGATACAGCACACAATCTCAAGTAACTATGTACCGCAGGTATGTGTAAAGGTCCTACATGTGACAAAATGAAAAATAGTAAAGAAACAAGATCATGACATGGAATATATTCTTATACATGTCCCTAGTCAACCAACCCACAACCCCTATACATACAAGAGAGCAACTCCATGTCCTTGCCCATCTTGGAAAGTGAAGTAGAACAACATGCTACGCATAACTATTTTTTTGTTTACTTGTGCCTTTCTCTTCATAGCTTTGTTCTTCATCTTTACATTCTTGAAATATGCAGACCAAGTGAATAAATCTTTTCATAAAACATGGTTTGGACACTTCAGGAGGCATATCTACGTCAAATATGATTCCAGGAGTGTCATCTCAAATATGTACAACGCTCCTCTTAAGAGGGGTTGATGCTACATAGTCTAGTGCATAAGGCAACTCATTCACAAAATTACTTTTTGCTTTAATTCGTAGCAGCCAATATATTCAAGCAAGCCAATCATGACATGTCGTAATTTTTCAAGGGAGTGAGAGAGTAAAAAAATTGGATCATGAGCAATATGAAGAGAAGCACAAAAACCTTCAAAAATAACACAAAAGAATATTAGTATTAAGATACATACAATTAGAAGGGAGAAAGACCTGTTAGAACACCTACCATATTTCTCAATACCATCAAAAAGCTTCAGTATATCAGTCTTTAATGTACCAATCTGCCAATAAGGAGCTAATTTTAGATTAGAATTGTCCAAAATCAGTTGAACTAAACCAAAAATGGACACGACAACTCCTTTTTTAGAATGCGTTGGAAAAACGATGACAGTAGTTTCAGGTTAATGATTTTTCAAACCACTTCAGATTTCTTCATGAGCCAAAACTAAAATAGAATGTCAACTAACCAGATATTGATCAATCTCGGAAGATGATAATGAAACAACTCCGGCAAGGGTCTCAAGTGCTATTCCTGTCAGAAGTTTATTAAAAAGGAGCAGATGAGTATAGACAAAGCAAACTCTGGATAAAAATTAAGCTTAATAGTATAGATAGATGTTGTCAACGACTTTCAACAATGGAGACAAATCATCACCTGCAGCATAAGTACTAGCCTCAGGATTTTTAGAACTATAGCGCCACCTTCCATCACTTTGGCTGAGAGCCTGTCAAGAAATTTCAAGATCAACTCAGGCTGTCAAAGAACCAAGTTCCATTACAGGAACAACATGTAAAGCCTAACCAAATGCACACCCCCCACCCCCAAAAAAAAAAAAGAGTAGTCATATACTAAATAATATTATTCCAGAAAGGTAGAACCAACCTTAATGGATCGATAAACCCCATCAGCATCTCCAAGAAGTACATCCACTTCAGACGACTGATCCTGCATAGCAAATCATGAGAAAATGAGATCCAGATTCTGAAAACATAAAACAGATTGAGAACGAAATTTTCTTTTATACCATATGTATAGAGTGGAAACAACGCATTTTTAATGCAAAATTGAAAGAAAACTATTTGTGCACTCCAGTGTATTAATTACCTTGATAAGTAGCAACCCTCCTATTGAATGGTAGGCGTCAAGCAATGAATTTGCATCATTGACAAAATATTTAAGTCTAGAAGCGATGGCCTAAAAGAGAAGAAAATAAAAGCTTTAACACAGCTGCGTTTAATAAAAACAATTTCAGGCTAAGACAACAAATCAGTGCAGAGAGCTTAAGAATACCGTAAAAGCCTCGTCTTTTAGGTCACATTTTAATAGCCCATTAACTCTCAATGCATAGAACAGATCCTTTAAATTTGACGATGGTGACCATAGTATCTCCTCCACAGATTTGCAAGTCGAAGCACTTACATCAGACTTCTTATTTATTCCAAGAATATCAAACGTCCTTAAAGCCTCATATGTGTCTTCCAAGCTGAAAACAGAAAACATCAATTTAGATACCCTTTTCAAGTTCCATTTGATATGCATGTAACAACGGCCAAATTAAAGATCAGGAAGACACAAGGAGACAAGGGGGAGAGGAGAGAATTAATAACTAAACCAATGGACAAACAATTGCACCATGAAGGGGTAAAGGGGAAAAAGGCAATGGAATCATGACAACACATGGCAAGGACACTTATGCAAAAAGACAATTGTTGTCGAGGACAGCTTATGCAAAAAAGACAATGGATTCACAACGCATGGGGATGACAACTCAATCAAAAACATGTTGCAGATGATGATAGCCATCAAAATGGTTATGTTATTGAGAGAAAGGAATAAGGTGAATTTGTACAAATCAAGCATTAGCTGTAACACCCTGACCTAATTTCATATAATTCATAGTGCTAATAAGTAATAACCTGAATAACACAAATTCAATTTCCATAAATAAAATCCCTAACACAAAATTTTCATAGAAAAATAAAATTAGATACATTTTCAATTGATCCAATGCTCATTGAATTCTTTTAAGTTTTGGAGCACTAAAATCCTCAAAAGTGAATAAATAATCTCCCGATAATAAAATTAATTACAATCGATCAAAAGTCTTCAATTCTTTAATTGATCTAATCTTCCATCAAATTTTACTCCAAGTTTAACTCGCAACTGAGAGGGTAAATAGGAGGCGAGCTTGGGAGGCCCAATAAATTGATTAAATTACAACATACGGAATGAGAGGATCAAACAATAAACGAACAATTGATGATCACACACAGAAGCATGAATTAAAAAGAACAAGTGTTTCTCATATAAATTTCGTAGAACAAACAGAACCCCACAATTTAATGTTCCAATTCACAAATAGTTTCATACTCAGTTCATCCCAACTGTGTGCTAGACATCACTCGGTACATTTCATTCTCTCCCACACCCCTCCGGGCCACAATCACGTTGTGTAACTATAATCATGACATTGAGTCAACCTGACACGATAGACATAATCAGCAAGCTGTCGTGAATAACACACTCTAATCTTGTATCAAAGGGGTCATAAATCATCTTTAAATTTCTCTTTCAAAGCTCTCGGATTAGCTCTCTCATTTTTTTTTCTTGTCTTCTATTGGTTTCCTACCCCTCCTTACATTCTTTTCTAAGTTGTCATGATCTTTTCATTCTTGATTATTTCCATTGCTTATACACATTAGTCACAGACACTTTGTTGATTTCTCAGGGCATTAACATGACTCACACTACTTAACTCTTTCTCTCTCTCTAACACACACACACACACACTTGCCCATAATTTATATATTTTTCTTTATATTTTATGTCACTAATGTCTATATACGTTACATATTTATATTACTATCATAGATACCATATAATTTAATCACCTCACCACCAAATCATGCCACCAGTAAACTTAGTCATTCATTTTTTTTTCTACTTCCTAAAGCTCACTAATTAGATATTCTAAATCCAAATTTAATTGTTTTATAACTTATAATTTGACCCCAAATAAAATTATTATAATTCCCATAAGTATCATTTGAACCGTAAAATATTTAATTATTTAATCTATTTAGGGTCGGGATGTTACCTTAGCACTACATTAACAGTCCAACTTCATAGACAAAATTAGAATCAGAACAAATTGCAAATAAGTGGGTAACCAAGTGTCTCGAGAGAACCAATAATTTGATGTCTAAACATCACACTACCATAGATGAAATCTACTCCTCATTCATGTTGATGATGAAACCAAACACAATCCAAGGTGCCCACAACTTTAATGTACAACTAACTGTCCAAATATCGAATTGTATAACAGTCAAAACTATTTTGACTCTCCTTTTGGTGGCTGAAAATAATAACAATGGAAAAGATTTGTTAAAGACGCTAAGACTTCCCACATAACCTTCATTCTTTATTTCAATTTGGAAACTTAACGCAAAAATAAGAATATAAATTCTATTTTTCTCATTTCATTCAGTCCGATTTCTCAAAAGCAAGCGGAAAATTATGGAGAAATAATCTATACGGGGAAAAAAGAAACGTATTGCGCAATAATCAGATCAAATGGAAATAAGTTTTCTTCAGATCAGGACAATTAAATGAACTTTATACATACACACACGCATATATTTAGAGAGTAGGGGTTTAATGAGGGCTTAGATTAACCTTCCAAAAGATCCATCGGTGACCGAGAAGAGCTCCGATGCCGCAGATCGATGAGAGTCTGATATTGGACTGAAGATCACAGCTTTGCCGATCGATATGATAGACAGAAACAGAACCAGAAAACCTAAATGTCTGGCCATACTAGAGACTGAGATGGTTGATTTCTCGGAGTACTACGAATTCAAAGATAGGAAACCCTACAGGAATTTTCTGAGACGTCTTCGCTGCGATAGACAGTCTATCGAGTCCAGTTTGTGCCACAACGACTGCACTGAGGAGAGAGAAGATCGACTGTTCTTCAAGACTAGAGCAAATGAAGGGTGGACAAATTTATATTCGAATCCCAAAAATGTCCACGATCGTTTCAGCTTATTACCATCTAGGAGTCTGAGTTTATGGATGAATTTAGTCCGCGAAAGTGCTTCCAACAACGGGCCGGGCCGGACTATTATTTTTCAGCCCATAGCTTTCTAATGGGCTGGGTTTTTGGAGTTTGACTGGTCAACAGGCCGGGCTGAATCTGCCAGTGGAAAAATGTAAGGCCCATATCCCCGTTTGTGGGCCAACTTATTAGGCCAAAAGCGGGCTAAGTATGGGTCAGGTCTTATGGCCTATTTTTTGGGCCTAAATAGGACATTTTTAAAAAAATTATTTTTTTATGTAAAAATTACAAAATGACATAAATTAATAAAGTATGATAGGAAAAAATAAATTAACAAAAAAAATATTCATATTAATTGAGTGTGAGTACTCTAACAACTTCTATCTAATGTTTCAACTCTAACTTCATCAAATTAGCAAGTTATAATAAAAAAAGTTAGATAAAAAAAATAAAAAATGAGCTTCAAGTGATTGAATTGTGGTGATGAAATATTGAAATAATGAGGGACGGATGTGCAATTGAGTGAGAGAGGGTTGTGTAATTTTTTTGTTAGGGGTGTTGTAACTGTAATGTTATAAATGGCTGGGCTTGTTAACGGCCCAGCCCAAAGGGCTTCTTAGCGGGCTGCCACATCCTACCACGTGTATAGGTTCAGGCGGGCTTATTAGCCCGTTGGGCTGTCGGGCTTTAGGCTTTTTGCTGAAGCCTAGGTAAGGCTATGGAAACTAAGGTTGTACTGTATTTCCATTAATCTCCGCAATCAATTTGAATTGAATTATTTTTAATCATTTATTAAAAAATAATTGCATATCGCATATTTTCTTTTGGTTAAAAAGTAAAGCAAAAATATTTTTTTGTATCGGAATGGAACCATACCATCTATATCATGTCTAAGATGAATGGTGATTGTTTTTTCGTCAAATATAAATTGTGATTAAAGGAGAAAAAGGAGTACAACAGACATAATCAAGCACCAAGGCTCGACACAAGCTCTAAAGCGTTACAAAATAATTCTCAACCTAGTTTATATGGCACATCAAGTTTTAGAGGCTCAACACAATAGACAAAGGAACAACCGAACAAGTATGATTCATCCTAACTATCATTTGTGTCTTCTAACGACAAGTCGCGCAGAAAACTTTCTTCCCATTGCTTTCCTGCGAGAATGTATTCCATATCCTTCAAACAGATTGCAAAGGTGATTGGTCTGTAAGAATAGCATTTCTAACGTTGATGCATGAAGCCATATCAGTGGCTCATTTGTGCTCTCCAAAGTTGCTCTAGAGTCATGGTCCTTGGGACCAAGTTGACTTTGCCTTGTAGCTTCCTGACATTAATATCATTGGTAGATGGTAATGTTTCATCTCTCTTCTTCCTCCAAACTTCTTTGCCCTTGGAGTTAAGGTTAAGGCGTGACTGCTTAAAATGAGTCTCATGGTTTTGCATAGTCATCTTTCTTTGGTTTCTTGTGTTGAACTAGCTCTCTCATTCATGCTCCAACCAACTATTGGAGTTTGTGCCTGCTCTCTTATTTATTCTAATACCAGCTTTATCATTCATTTTCAGTCTTCTTTCGCAAACGGTTTAAGTAGTCTCTTGCACTTGAAAAATTGAGGGTCTATTTGATTTGATTTTTAAAAACTGTTTTTTGTTCTTCAATTATTTTGAAAATTTTAGGAATTGAGGATTGATTTTAGAAAACAACAAAATTGTATATTCATTGTTTTCTAAGGCAAAATGAAAACACGAGAACAACCTATTTCCAATTTAATGAGATCTCTCATTCGAGTTTCGTTGGAAGCAAAAAATAGAGACTGTTCATTCTTCTTCTCCACAACTCTCTCTCTCTCTCTCTTTATATATATATCTGCTTCAGATTTTTGTGTATATACTCAGATCTATCTGTGCCTATGTGAGTGGGTGCGTGTATGTGCGTTTGTGTGAGTGTGTGTTTCTTTTTGTGGAAAGAGAGAGAGGGAAAAGAAAGAGAGAGATGAGAATTGAGGGCTTGGTGAATAATTGTCCAAACAGATTTTATAAATTTTTATTCTTTAAAATTATTTTTAAAAATATATAAGCAAACAGATTTTGCAATTTAAAATTTTCAAATACACTTTCTTAAAATTATTTTCAAAAATTATTTTCAGATACTATTTTTTGATATGTAAACTAAACAGGCCCTAAGATTTATCTAGACCTAATGCATGGTTATGATCAAGTATAGGGAAAGTCACTCGCCACTTTCCATTTATTTCAAGAGTGGCCCTTAACTTAGGTTTGCAATCTGTTTTCGATATCAGTTGTACTTTAAACGGATTGCTTAACTTCCTTTGTGACTTTCCGGTAAGAGAACAAACAATGGTCGCGTACTTCACTTCTCCATCTTCCCTCTCTTAAAGCAACGGTCACAGTTCATTGTTCAATTTTTGTAATGTCAAGGGGTGTTTGTGTTATTTCATCAAATTTCAGGGGTATGAATGAAATTTATCATAAAAAATTTCATTTGGATTATGTTGTTAACATATTATTACTTTGGTATGCCATTTTATTGGAGAATAGGTGTGAAATGTCAGCGTTTACAACTCAAACTTGGGAAGAAAAATGGAGATAAAGTAGATTGTTATACTTGATTATACTTAACTCTTAACAAGAAGGGCTTTTTCCATTTTGCACCTCGAAAGATTTTAAGATTTTTATTTTGTATATTCAAAGATTAAATTTCTTAAATTACACTTTAATGTATCAAAAAATATTGTAATATGACACTTCTGTTAACTTATATTATTTTTTTCGTCAAAAGTTAAATCATTAACACTGACAAAAAACTAACAGAAATGTCATATTACAACACTTTTGATACATTGAGGATGTAATGTAAAAAATTTAATCTTTTAAAAACAAAGTAAAAATTTTAAAATTTTTCAAAGTGAAAAGTGAAATTCACTCTAACAAGAATGATGAGGCCGGTAGACTACCTCTGGGCTATATATATATATATTTTGTTCCTGTTTTGCACGGTTTGGCCACTAGAACAATCGTCATCTCTTAATGCTGGCATATCCTCCCATATTTTGAGAAAACTCAAGAGTGAATAAACTACTTCGTATATGCATATTGAGATTAAATCTCATTGTATTCACCTTTTAGTTTTAATGGCGTTATAGACCACGAAGTTTGAGGTGAATGGGGGTGTTAAGTGAGTGCGGTTTATGCGTGAGTAAAGCAATATAGAATGCGCAAGTTGAAGTGATTTGTCCTGTTGAAGAGAAATATTAGTTCAATGTAATAGAGGCTCTTAAGATTAGTTCAATGTAACGGAGGCTCTTACTTCTTCTATTGTATGTTGCTTGAGCTAGGAGAAGCTCTTACTTCTTCTGTTGTATGTTGCTTCAGGTACGAGATAAATACATTAAGTTCTTGTTATGGGTTGTGTATTGACTGACCCTATATACCCTGCTAATTATTACTTTTATAATAGAAATGTTGAAGAATATTTACTTAACATTTGGTTGTTAAAGGCTTTTTCCTTGAGGTTAACGTGACCTTCTAGAAGTGATAACGTGACCTTCTAGAAATGATGACCTCCTACTTAAGAGGACCCCAAAGGCTCACCATCAACGAGGAAAATTCTGGAGGTGAAAATTTCTTTGTTTGTGGTTAGTCTTTGTAGTCATCTTTTCTAGACTTTTTTTAAAAGAATTGCCCACGTGACACATTTGCATCTAATTTACTTTCGGTCGAAAGATTTTCAAATTTTAACTATTCCGATTTAAAAGAGGTGACAAATATTAAATATTTTCATGTCGTAAAGAATAGAACATTATAATCTTGAAATTTCACATGAAAACATATATCACATTTGCAAATGCAAGTGTGAAATTACTGACTATTAAACATGGTTGAACACTTCTTGTTTGTTCATGACACCATGGTTTTCCTATTTCTTTGTCTTTTCAGGTGAAACGGAGAGAACCAAAGGCACTGCTTATTGCCCATGACAGTGTTAAGTTGAATCTATTGCCAATATACCTCATTTATCAAACTTATTTACCGATTTACTGATATTTTCAACTTATTTATCAAATTACCGTTGTTTTAAAAGCGAATTTAACAAATACGACTTCATGGGGAAAGCGAATTTGGCAAATCCGACTTCATTTAGAAAGCGGATTTGACAAATCCGACTTCAATTGAAAAGCGGATTTGGTAAATCCGACTTTATAGAGAAAGCGGATATACCAAATCCGCCTTTATATGGAAAGCGGACTTACCAAAGTGCAAGCCTTTATATATATAATTGTGTTGATCGCTAAAAGAGTATTTGACTATTTATTGAATACGTTTAGTCTCTCTGATTCTATATTCTTTGTGAATATATTACTCACCTTTATTAGTCGTTAAAAATCCACTAATAGATTCTATCTAATTTTATTAGTTATAACCCGTGCCTAAAGGCACGATAAAATATAAAATTTGAGCATCCAAAAAATCGATCCCACTATATTAAATTTTTTCAAAATATATTATTTACAAATTAATCAAATATTAAATAATTAAATATATGATAAAAATGAGTGATTTATTTTTTAGGGAGAAAATATATAAAGTCAAAAATTTCGGGTGGTATTCCAGTAAGAAAATTAGATGAAATATTAAAAAATAGATTTGGTATATCTGCTTTCTAAATGAAGTCAGATTTAGTATGTTCTCTTTCCCTATAAAGTCGGATTTGTCAAATCTATTTTCCAAATGAAGTCG